GAACGCCTGTGCAAGCGTTCAAATGTGGTGACGCGGGGCGTGCGGTGTGGGCAGTGCCCGAACGTGTGTGCAAGCGTTCAAATGTGGTGACGCGGGGCGTGCGGTGTGCACAGTGCCCGAACGTGTGTGTCACAGCGTTCAAATATGGTGATGCGGTGTGCGCAGGTCGGGTGGATGAAGGCGGAGGACCAGACCATCCTGACGCTGCACACCAAGGTGGTGACGCACAACTCGCGCATCAGCGTCTCGCAGGACAACATGCGCACTTGGCAGCTGCACATCCGCCAGGTGAAGGAGACGGACCGCGGCTGCTACATGTGCCAGATCAACACGTCCGTCATGAAGAAGCAGGTCGGCTGCGTCGACGTCCACGGTCAGTCACTTTTTTTAACTACTTTTTTCTTCTTGTATTGTTGTTGTTGTTGTTGTTATTGTTCTTCTTGTTCTTGTTGTTCTTGTTGTTCTTGTTGTTCTTGTTGTTGTTGTTGTTCGTGTTGTTTTTCGTGTTGTTGTTCTTGTTGTTTTAAAATATTTTTAAATCCTTGTGTAAGAAAAAAATTATTTCATGGGTATGAACAGTTATAATCGAATATGAGGAGAAACTTGCAAAGTAACATTTAATCATACTATTGGCACATATAAGAAGCATTTTAGTTTAATTTTTGAGTGTCATAATCTTTGAAATTATACAACTGTTATAAATGGGAAATAATACATGAAATTTTTTACTATAAATACAAAGATGGAGAGAGAAGATAATTATGGACTATGTAAAATATTTTTTGAGTAACGTGATTTAATTCGCGGAAAAGGATTGTGTTTTGGCAAGTTGAAAAGCAGAATATCCAGGAGAAAAAAGAAGATAGGCATAAATTTGATATGAAAGTCGAAGGCTCCAAGATTTTAAAGGGAGAATATTAAGGGCATGGAATATTTGATCATTTCTAATTAAAAAAAAGTTGCTTTTTACGTTTTTCTTATGTATTTATTTCGTATAACCTCTAGTTTGTTTTTGTTGTTGTGGTTGTCGTCGTCTAGTTCTCAGTCTCTAGGAACGTAACTGTTTCCCCACACCCGACAAGTGTTGTGTTGATGAACATTTTATTTTGGCAGTGTATTACCAACTAAATTTTGATTCCCGTTTTCACAGCCAAGGAAATATTATAATAAGTTGTCTCGTGAGACTCTACATCACATTTCCATATTTATTTTCATGAGTCATAATATTGTAGGGTCGGTGTATGAAGGGCCAACTTTTATAAACCGATGTTTTAGACCAGAATTTGTATTATCCATGATTTGAATTTTCTGAAGAACCTATTTTATTGAAACTTGAGGGATGCTCTTCAGGTGAGAAATGTTTGAACGTGGATAATAGAAAGTCAACGGGGAAATCTGAAATACATTTGTTGAATATTTTTTTTATATTCGTTTATTTTATGCTACGAAATATTGATTGACTCCTGGAATTGCGCACAAGGCAATAATGGTTTTAGGAACTTTATCCATTACTAACAGCGCATCGTTCCACGGCTAAGCGAACCGATCGGGCTGGGATGGGATTTGCCTTAGAATTTAAATTTGTCCCGCGGTTATCCCGAGTCCATTCAGGTGCTTCAAGCTTGTCAAGCCACACTCAGGATTTTCTGCACTTCGGAAATACTGGAAATACCGGCCTGTACTGGAAATAATTTTGCTATTCCTCAAACCGAAAGCTAGTCTTTTAAACTTCGTACAAAAATTTTAGGTGCTAACCTCTTTGTCGGAAACCTGTTCGCTAGCTAAATCCTTCACTAGGAAGAGATTGCCCTTTACAGGAAGCGACAAGAATAAATAAATTTCGAGAACAGGAATACGTTCACTATACCCATTTCATAAGTCAGTTGCTTATCACTAATGGAAGACACTGTGGCACAGCATACCGGACACCGATATGCTAGCACCAGTACCACTGGCACCGGATTTCTACATTACGAATGCGAGTTAATTCAGACAAAAAGTACACTATGCGTTGCTTACAAGAGAATGTCCCTCAATAAAATTTCTTCAAGATCCATCCTGTATCAAACACCATGGCAATTCCACACCATTTACAACAACTGCCATCGTGCCACAAACCATGGGTCCATTGTTACTGTGCAGGGCGCATGCGCGAGCGGTTGGGCCGGCGGCGGAAGTGGCTTCCGCTCTAAAAGAATTACTCTCCTAATGACGTTGGTTTCGATGTCCAGGCGGGCGGGCGCGCGCGCGTTGTTTGTTTGGCGCGGGCGGCGCCTGCGCTTCCCAATTCGATTAAAGTCGCCCCTCGCGGGCGCGCGCTGACCTGCGAAGGTATCATTTCCACAAATTACTGCGTTGCATTCTGCGCGCGCGCTCGCCCCCGCCGCGCCCCGCGCGCCCCGCGCGCGCCCGCCGCGCCCCGCCGCCGCCCGCCGCGCCCCGCCGCGCCCCGCCGCGCCCGGCCCGTGCCCAGTCGCACGAGGCCCACCCCGGCCCAGCCCGCCAGTACGCCCGCCCGGTACAGCCCCCCCGCACAGATCCGCCTCGTCCGCACGCACCGCTCTGTCCACCGTTCCTGCCTAGCATTTCTCCGTCCGCCATTCGTTAAACCATGCTAGCCCCGCCCCCGCTCCGTCTCACCCACGCCCTCTCCACACACGCATCATACCCACCCGACCTTCTCCGCCCAGCCCACCCAACCCCTCACGCTTACCCCTCCCACCAAAGCGCGCTGCCCTACCCCACCCCTTCATTCCCCTCCCCACAACACCCCTTCTTCCTTCGCTTCGCGACAGGCACCAGCCGCCAGCGTAGGGATCACAAATAATCGATGTTTTCGAGCAGAAACATTCATATTGTAGAATCGATGTTTAGCTTTCGTTGTTATCTTCAGATCAATATATTTGTTCAGAAACATCAATTAAAACAAATTATCATGAAGTAAATAAGATTTCCAATATCTATTTTATTTGCAGATTACTCGCAATGAACAACCATTGGCAACTTTCACTGTTTTCCATATCCAGCCAGTAGGAAACCGTTTACCATTCGCAACCTTTCGCCAGTTTTGTTTTCTTTTTTGATTATTTGGTACGTGATAATATCGTTAAATTGTATTTTGACTTTGATAACAAAGAACATTGATTAGAAAATTAATATGTCAGTCAAATGTAAGATAGAGTATATTTTAAACTAATATTGATGTGCTACATATCTCATTAGATGTAGGATACTTTACTTGGAAACGTTTCATTATATTTAAAATATCGATATTTTAAACATCGATGTTTCTTTGCCATGGCTTCGTCGGTTTTTTAATTGACATCGCAAACCTTTTGGTGATGTATCGAACTATTGATGTATCGATGTTTTGCTAAACGTTTCCATCTCCACTCCCCGCTCACCCGACGTGCCACCCGCGGGGATGACTGATGGACGTATACAGCGCGCCAGGGATGTCTCTAGGCTGTGGTACCTTGCTAGTGAGAGTTCTTGCAATAGAAATTATGTTGGTAACACAAGTTGAGATTTGAAAATATAAATTGCGTACTCACCGCAATCAAAATAAATGCTAAAAGGGTTGTTCCCTTCACTTGTTTATCAATGATATCGCACCGAAAAAAAGAACCGTTGGGGTATACCAGATCCATGACTTTCTTTATTTCAGTATCATGGATCTGGTATACCCCAACGGCTCTATTTTTGCGGTGTAACAACTTAAATGCAGCTTTTAATATGGACCTCTGATTCGGATCAGTGTGAAGATACTTTTCTGGCGCACTGTATTGTTTGTCCGGAAGGCGTCACGTCCAAGGCACATTTTTCAAAGTTTTGGACCGGCTTTGGCAAGGTTTTGGCTGCGACCCTCCGTACGGCAAAATGATGCCTGTCGCCCTGAGGAAGGCCTCGATCGCAACATGACGGTCAAAACGTGGACAGCTTCGCCTACGTCGCGGCATTTCCCGGACAGCCAAATATGTATTGTCTCAGTCCGAAGAAACATACGCTTTCATCGCTGGCCCAGATCACTGAGCCGGGAATGATTCAGCAAGCTCGGCTAGGCGGGTCGCGGGTTTGTGACCCGCGCAGGCTGTCAGTTTACCTGTGTATTGTGGCATCATAGGTCATCTCACCCTTGGCATCACTCTACCCCTGGCATCCCTTCCTGCGGCAGATCCAGGTGGGGGCCATGGGGGGCAGGACATGCCCCCCCCCAAAAAAAGGACAAAAGTATTTTTACCTTCGTTTATTTGGCAAAATAGGTTGAAATATTTATGAGGACAAAACATCGATGTTCAAAATCAAAACATCGATGTTCAAAATCAAAACATCGATGTTCAAAATCAAAACATCTACGTTAATAATACATCGACCAAGAACTATCGGTTTCTAAATATAAACGATTTTTTACAGTGGATGAATACATTAATTGAAAATTTCAGTGTCCCAGAATATTAATTTATATTTAAAATTTAATTAAAACAAAGTTTTAAAAAACTATCCATGTGCAGAAAACGAGTAAATGCGTAATAAATACCAGGGCATCGGGGTCATGTCGGATGAGGATTAGTCTCCTCGATGACTTACATTACAGACGTTCCAAAATATACTAATCAAGCGAAAACATAAAATTGTTGTTTATTTTACCCAAATAACTTAACACTTCCTTTTATTGAAAACTATGCTTTCGGTACATTCTAATGTCAATTCGCAGAAAATATAATAATAGAACACGTAATTCACTTACTAATTAACTCTGGTTTCTTTCTGTCCTATCGGCATATCTGTGATATGCGTCCACTTGATTTTCCTCCCTCGGAATCCTGTCTCGGTTATCTAGTTCTCCAAATCCATTCCTATTCATTTTATCAATTCATCATATACATCACCTCATACATCATCTTCATACATAACATTAATTATTTTAACATTATTACCACCTATATCACACACTTTTGCTACCTCTGAGAACGGAAAGCATTTTCCACCTTAATCTGCATAACCCCTTTGATATTTCTGTACTACAGACTTTTTTATTTGACGTTCGTTCTTCTTTTGAATAATATTTCCATTCCTATTTCCATTCTTGATTACTATTTTCCGCTTCGCAATTACCTAGTACTAATTTGCTGCTCTCGCTAACTCGTTCCTGCTTCCATTCAAAAGCGGTCATAAACTTCTAATGCAAAGCGACGCAATCTCTTCTTGCGAGGATTCCAACTTCCCCCTCGCAAATTTCATCGACTGCTACGTATGTCGCTCTCCAAACCGGAATCCTTCTCATCGACACAATTAAAGGTGGCCGACGGTCTGTCCCTGTGTATTCGCATGTGTGCCTCTTTCACACATGAGCATTCGCTTCCAGAATATTCG